ATAAAATAGGTTTAAAACAGTTTTTAAAAATAGTATTTAAATACATTTAAAATAGTGTTAGGTTTGGTAACGGCGTAGACCGAGCTTGGTTTGATGAGAACGGAGGAAGTGGGTAAAAAGGATAACACCTGGATTGGCAAACTTTTGGGCACGTGAGTGGTCGTTTATTAAATCCATAAAGTGTACAGCATTTATTTGCCAATCACTCATCCCTAAGGAAGAGCTAACCCTTTAAACGACCTCGTTCTCAGCAAAGGTGAGAGTGAAAACCGCCACAGCCCGGACGCAAAAGGAAACCGGGCCACCCCACCCGAGGCCCACGTAGTGCACACGAAAAGGCTAGTAACATACAGAAAGATAAAGTCAACGAACGCGCGAAGACTTAAATAAGACTGGCTCCTGCTAAAAAATTTCAACGAGTGTCACAGAAAGTAAACTAAATGAAAAGACACTAAAGGTTTTAATCAATGAGATTGGCCCCTGCTCAAACTCAAGGAATACTTAGGATACTTAACTGAATAAAACAACAGTAAGGCTTCAGGCAATGAGATTGGCCCCTGCTCAAACTCATAGAATACTAAAGATACTTAATTGAATAAAACAGCACCAAAGCTTTAATCAGTGAGATTAGTCCTTGCTCAAACTCCCTGAATCTTAAAGATACTTAACTGAATAAAACAGCACCAAAGCGTGAATCAGTAGGAGTGGCCCCTGCTCAAACTCATTGAGTACTAATGAAACCAGGCTAAGGCTTTAAGCAATGAGATTGGCCCCTGCTCATACTCATTGAATACTAAAATTACTTACTGAATAACACAACGACAAGGCTTTAATCAATGAGATTGGCCCCTGCTCAAACTCATTGAATACTAGAATTACTTACTGAATAAAACGACGCCAAGGCTTTAAACAATGAGATTGGCCCCTGCTCAAACTCATTGAAAACTAAAATTACCTACTGATCAAAACAACACTGAGACTTTAATCAATGAGATTGGCCCCTGCTCAAACTCAGTGATAAGTGAAATGCTGTTAACAAGGTAGAAAATAAGAGTGGTCGTTGCTCAAACTTGTTAAATGGGAACGCAGGAAGATAGGAATCTAACGGATTACTGAAAGATGTCCCTCGGGATTTTGGCTAGTGACCTACTGATTATAGGGAAGGGGTACTTATGTACTTTAGGAAAGTGTTAGACTTCCAACGCCCAAAGCGTCTAATCTGCGAATCAGAAAAGCCTAGAGCGGCGGCCCACGAGGCAGCCCCTATTCGGAAGTTGTGAGTTTTGTACCGGTCAGTTTGAAGACTGCAAAATGAGAGAGCCCGATTGAGGGAATCGACAAATTGTGATCTGCGGATTGGGGAGTTGTTTGGCCAACAAAATAAGGGACCAGAAAGGTGTCCTCTAACGCTTAGATACTCAACGATATCCGCACCCCGAGGACTATGGGAAAAAGTTTCAGGAAGACAATGTTTTTATGAGTCCAATCACTAGGCCACTTGCTGTATGCCCATTTCCTACTAAAGACAATACCGAAGCCCAATGATTGAGCAGCATCGGTGTAAAATTTAAGGTGAGACGAAGAGTACCAGGCGTCCTCAAGGAACATGGATTTGCCATCATAGGATTGAAAAAATGATTTCCAAAGTGCCAAATCCTTTTGGACATCTTGAGTTATGCGGATGTAGTGGTTAGGGCGCTTAACCCACGATTGTAATGTTGATTAGGCGGCGCAGAAAAACTCGGCCAGGTATAATAGCGCAGCATGCAAAATTCAGTAAACCAATAAGCGACTGAAGCTCCTTCAACGTTACTTTTTTACGTGACAAAGTGTGCTCAATTGGTGACAAACACTTCTGGATTTTTTCTTGAGAAAGCCTGGCCTCAAATGCTAAACAGTCTAGTTCTCTACCCGCAAAACGCAATAAGTGACAAGGTCCTGCCGTCTTCTCCTGCGCTATAGGAACCTCGAGCTCATTGCAAAGGTCAAGAAAAAGAACCAATTGTGATCCACAACGAGAAAGCGACTGATCGATTATCAAAAAATCATCCAATATAAGAATGATATTCTCTACACCAAGTTTGTGTCGTGCTATCCACTCTAACGAAGAACTGAAATCCTCAAAAATGGGACAAGAGGAGGGGCAGCCCATTGGCAAGCAACGGTCAACATACCATTTCCCTTTCCACTGGAACCTTAGCAGCTGATAATCGGAAGGGCGAACTGGTATAATGCGGAAGGCACTTTTAATGTCGGTTTTTACCAGTGCACTGCCCCTCCCAGATTTCTTGATCAAAGAAATAGCATCATCGACTGTGGCATAGTGAACAGTTGAAAGTTCTCGGGGGATTCCATCATTCACAGAGCTACCCTCCGGGTATGACAAATGTTGAATCATTCTGTATTCTCTTTTAATTTTCTTCGATACTACCCCCACTGGGGACACCCATAAGAGGTCTACAGGAGGGGTGTCGAATGGGCCAGTAATACGGCCGAGTGCCACTTCTGATGCCACCTTTGAATCAATGACTCCGGGGAACTCCCGAGCAGACAGAAGGTTAGGTGCAAATGAGCTTTTCCTTTCCCCAACAAAATCCAACTTAAAACCCTGTGTAAATCCGTTGATAATCTTGTTTCTAAGAATGTGGTCATAGTCTTCCGAATAATGAGAAAGTTTAGCTGCGATTACCGGAGTTGGTGGAATCTGGGGATTCATTAGGTTTACTTGACTTTGGCCATGGTCTAGTTTGTGGGCATCTTGAGATAGCGTGGCTGCCCCCATATTTGAAACAGGTATGCTTGAAAGAGCAACCACCACATTGGACACCTGAGTGAAATTCGAAACAGTAACCCCAGGGGATGCTAGAAACGCCCTGTTTGGGAGGAAAATTAGTCTGAGCTCCGGACTTATGAACTTTATGAGCCCTGAGCCATATCTCTGAATGAGTCCGGCCCTAAGGTAATGGATCAACCTCCCTCAGTTTACGGCAGTACTTATCATAAAATTGCCAGTTGCCTGATCGCGATGCCAACTCTCTTACTATGGACATGTATTTCATCAGGCTAGGGGCCTCGCT